GGCCGGGGCGGGGCGGCCGAGCGGAAGCGCCGCGCGGAGCCCCCAGGTCCACCGTTGGGAGGATGTCCGTTATCCTTTTGTGACCCGCGGAAACCCGAGACGGGGCCGTTGGGTGCCCGCTTCCCTGTAGAGCTTGGAACCCCAGGGCGCCTGCCGCTCGTCGTGTGGCTCGGCTCCTTATGGCTTTCTAGAATTTCCTTCGGAGCTTCTCTTTCTTCGCTCTCCAGCCAATCAGTGTTTCCCTTGACCACCGTCTTCACCTATTTCTCACTTTCGTAGACACTCCTCCTTGTGCCCACCAGGCTTTGCATTGGTCTCATCCTTGAGAGCTCCACGGTGTACCCGCTGTGTTCTCCATTACACCTGCCCTGCAACAGAGCCTGGATTTTTCCGGGCACGAATTGACGGCAAGTTAAGCCTTTCCGAATCTGAATAGTTAGCTATGTTGCAGCGAGGTGATTTGACCTTACTCAGCTTTTTGGTCCCCCTGACAGTTGGTTTAAAGCAATAAAAATAAAGACTCCCTGGTTTTTAAGAAAATCTTGGAAAACTGAAATTCTGGGAAGGCGTTATCTCTGTTGTACTCGTTTGGCCAGTTTAACGCTGTGTGGAATTCCTTGAGCTCTTGGAAGAGTGTTCCTGCAGTTGAAGCCCATGATTATTCTGGACTGTGATCCATTAATCTTAGGTCGAACTTGCTAAACAAGCGGGTGTCTTTCATAACACGTTAGAGAAAAGATGATGCATTCTGATTAAAAAGTGACTTGATCAATTTAGTTCTTATTTCTAAATGCCGTTTAACTTGACTTTTGAGAATTTTAGTGTAAGGAGTGAAAAATTAGATCATTTTCTCTTTGAATTTGAGTTTCAAAACCTGAGTAATTCCCCTTGGAGTGCTGCACCCACACAGTTTGGCAAAGTCAAATCTGTTGAAATAAGTCATTTCTGGCTTCATAGCTTATAAATTGTGCATAAATATTTCACAAGTGAAAACCAGTTGTGGGAGAATTTTTTTATGTGGCTTAATTTCACTTTCCCCACTCTCCAGTAATTGACGGGAAAATGTCTAAGTAGTTGATACTTACCCACAGATACAAGAGAAATAGTGGGGGTGTACCTGCTTAGGTAGCCTAGCTTCTTGGTGGTAGATCTGTAGATGTTCACCATCAAGTGGAGAAAGCTGGGAAGGGTTTAAAACTTGGGAAGGGTAGCAGGTGTGACACAGCATTAAGATGTTCCTAAGTGCTGTCCCAGCACCTGCTCCACGAATAGCTTTTAAGGATTTATTTTAGAGAGAGGGAGCAAGTGTGGGGCGGGGAGGGGCTGAGGGAGAGAGAATCTCAAGCAGGCTCCTCCGCGCCCCATCCCCCCAACCCTGAGATCACCACTGAGCGGAAACCAAGAGTCAGGCATTTAATCGACAGCCACCCAGGCACCCCTCCAGGAATAGCTTTTTAAAACTTGCCCCAGAGCAGGGGCGCCTGGGTGGCTCAGTCAGTTAAGCGTCCCACTCTTGATTTTGGGCTCAAGGTCGTGAGATTGAGCTCCAAGTCGGGTTCTTCGCTGGGCTTGCTTGCTTGAGATTCTTTCTCTCCGTCTCCCCCTCCTTTGCCACCCCTACTCACACTCTCCCTCTCCCTAAAACAACAAAACTTGCCCCAGAGCAGGGGCGCCTGGGTGGCTCAGTCAGTTAAGCGTCCCACTCTTGATTTTGGGCTCAAGGTCGTGAGATTGAGCTCCAAGTCGGGTTCTTCGCTGGGCTTGCTTGCTTGAGATTCTTTCTCTCCGTCTCCCCCTCCTTTGCCACCCCTACTCACACTCTCCCTCTCCCTAAAACAACAAAACTTGCCCCAGAGCAGGGGCGCCTGGGTGGCTCAGTCAGTTAAGCGTCCCACTCTTGATTTTGGGCTCAAGGTCGTGAGATTGAGCTCCAAGTCGGGTTCTTCGCTGGGCTTGCTTGCTTGAGATTCTTTCTCTCCGTCTCCCCCTCCTTTGCCACCCCTACTCACACTCTCCCTCTCCCTAAAACAACAAAACTTGCCCCAGAGCAGGGGCGCCTGGGTGGCTCAGTCAGTTAAGCGTCCCACTCTTGATTTTGGGCTCAAGGTCGTGAGATTGAGCTCCAAGTCGGGTTCTTCGCTGGGCTTGCTTGCTTGAGATTCTTTCTCTCCGTCTCCCCCTCCTTTGCCACCCCTACTCACACTCTCCCTCTCCCTAAAACAACAAAACTTGCCCCAGAGCAGGGGCGCCTGGGTGGCTCAGTCAGTTAAGCGTCCCACTCTTGATTTTGGGCTCAAGGTCGTGAGATTGAGCTCCAAGTCGGGTTCTTCGCTGGGCTTGCTTGCTTGAGATTCTTTCTCTCCGTCTCCCCCTCCTTTGCCACCCCTACTCACACTCTCCCTCTCCCTAAAACAACAAAACTTGCCCCAGAGCAGGGGCGCCTGGGTGGCTCAGTCAGTTAAGCGTCCCACTCTTGATTTTGGGCTCAAGGTCGTGAGATTGAGCTCCAAGTCGGGTTCTTCGCTGGGCTTGCTTGCTTGAGATTCTTTCTCTCCGTCTCCCCCTCCTTTGCCACCCCTACTCACACTCTCCCTCTCCCTAAAACAACAAAACTTGCCCCAGAGCAGGGGCGCCTGGGTGGCTCAGTCAGTTAAGCGTCCCACTCTTGATTTTGGGCTCAAGGTCGTGAGATTGAGCTCCAAGTCGGGTTCTTCGCTGGGCTTGCTTGCTTGAGATTCTTTCTCTCCGTCTCCCCCTCCTTTGCCACCCCTACTCACACTCTCCCTCTCCCTAAAACAACAAAACTTGCCCCAGAGCAGGGGCGCCTGGGTGGCTCAGTCAGTTAAGCGTCCCACTCTTGATTTTGGGCTCAAGGTCGTGAGATTGAGCTCCAAGTCGGGTTCTTCGCTGGGCTTGCTTGCTTGAGATTCTTTCTCTCCGTCTCCCCCTCCTTTGCCACCCCTACTCACACTCTCCCTCTCCCTAAAACAACAAAACTTGCCCCAGAGCAGGGGCGCCTGGGTGGCTCAGTCAGTTAAGCGTCCCACTCTTGATTTTGGGCTCAAGGTCGTGAGATTGAGCTCCAAGTCGGGTTCTTCGCTGGGCTTGCTTGCTTGAGATTCTTTCTCTCCGTCTCCCCCTCCTTTGCCACCCCTACTCACACTCTCCCTCTCCCTAAAACAACAAAACTTGCCCCAGAGCAGGGGCGCCTGGGTGGCTCAGTCAGTTAAGCGTCCCACTCTTGATTTTGGGCTCAAGGTCGTGAGATTGAGCTCCAAGTCGGGTTCTTCGCTGGGCTTGCTTGCTTGAGATTCTTTCTCTCCGTCTCCCCCTCCTTTGCCACCCCTACTCACACTCTCCCTCTCCCTAAAACAACAAAACTTGCCCCAGAGCAGGGGCGCCTGGGTGGCTCAGTCAGTTAAGCGTCCCACTCTTGATTTTGGGCTCAAGGTCGTGAGATTGAGCTCCAAGTCGGGTTCTTCGCTGGGCTTGCTTGCTTGAGATTCTTTCTCTCCGTCTCCCCCTCCTTTGCCACCCCTACTCACACTCTCCCTCTCCCTAAAACAACAAAACTTGCCCCAGAGCAGGGGCGCCTGGGTGGCTCAGTCAGTTAAGCGTCCCACTCTTGATTTTGGGCTCAAGGTCGTGAGATTGAGCTCCAAGTCGGGTTCTTCGCTGGGCTTGCTTGCTTGAGATTCTTTCTCTCCGTCTCCCCCTCCTTTGCCACCCCTACTCACACTCTCCCTCTCCCTAAAACAACAAAACTTGCCCCAGAGCAGGGGCGCCTGGGTGGCTCAGTCAGTTAAGCGTCCCACTCTTGATTTTGGGCTCAAGGTCGTGAGATTGAGCTCCAAGTCGGGTTCTTCGCTGGGCTTGCTTGCTTGAGATTCTTTCTCTCCGTCTCCCCCTCCTTTGCCACCCCTACTCACACTCTCCCTCTCCCTAAAACAACAAA